AACAAGTCACTGTGCCTCTCTATCATGCCTGCTGCAGTAGGATTGTATGGCACATGAAACTTCCACTTGATTCCCAGCTGTTGTACCCATTCTTGCAGTGTATGTCCTGTAAAATGGGTGCCCTGATCACTTTCAATCACCTGGGGTTGGCCATAGGCAGCAAAGAGATGCTCCAGGCCTCTTTTGGTCACCTGCTGGTCTGCACAATGGGTAGGAAAAGCAACCAAAAGTCCAGTAGCTGTGTCCACACAAGTCATCATGTACCGATACCCTTCTGACACAGGTAGAGGCCCAATATAGTCTATCTGCCACCTGACGAGGGGTATAGGCCCCTTAGCTATTATTCCATGTTGCTGTGGAACTCGGTGTAAGTCCCTTTTGGAGCACACGACACACTCCTGCCTGGCTCTACTAACTTCTCCAAAGGTCAAAGGCAAGCCCCACCAACGGGTACAGCCCACATTATCTTTTGCCCTGCATGCAACAAATGCTGTAACCATTGGGCTACATCAGAGGCAGGCTTTCCTTCTAACCAATGTATCTGGGCCAATTTATCTGCCTCATCATTTCCTGGGGATGCCAGTGGCAAATGACCTGTCACATGGTATACTGTAATTATTTTGGTCTGACCACAGGCCCATAAGTCTTGCCATAATTCTTGCCCCCAAAGGGGTTGGTGACCAACCAGCCAGTTGGCATAGTACTAGGTTGGTAGCCACAGTGTCAAGCCCCAATAGACAGCCCAGCTGTCAGTGCAGACTACTATAGGGGAGGGCTTCTTGCTGATCACAAGCCACAAAGCCCACAATTCTGCCCATTGGCTGCTCTTCCCCTCACCATCTTCCATCCATATTGTCTCAGTCTTAGGTTGGAAAGCTATGGCCCTCCATTTTGGGGGCTGCCCATGGCTGGGTATAGGCCCCTTAGCTGCATCTGTGTACCATGCAACTTCGGGTATAGGGGCTCTTCCCTCCTGATAGGGACTCTGGTACTATGGTTCAAAAGCAAGTTCTTCCTGCTTTTCACTAGTATATGTCACTGGCCCCAACAAGCATTGAAGTTCTTCACTCAAGGGCCTACTAGAGAGGGCACTATGCTGCTGTAGGTAAGCACCCCACTTGGCTAGTGTGGGTGTTTGTGCCACACCACTCCTTGGCTTTCGGGTCCAGTCTTGTACCCACCCCAAGATGGGATAGGTGGTTATAACCTTTATTGGGGCCATTCCAGTGATGGGTTCTGTAGCCAGCAAGGCATGCTACATGCCAGCCAGTTTTTCTATCAAAGTATATCATACCTCTGCCCCTTTCCAGAGTTGTGACCAGAATCCAATGGGTTGACAAGTTCATTCAAGCCACAGCCAGAGACCCCAGCCATAACCATCTTCAGTGACATGAACATCCAGCTCACAGGGCCTTGATGGGTCAATCACACTCGATGCCTGCATGGCCTTGACTGCCTGTTTTTCTGTAGTAAAGGCAGATGCACATGTTTCATCCCAGTCTCACCTGACGCCCTTTTGTACCAACTGGTATAAGGGCTTCAGAATTTGTGCCAAGTGTGGTATAAACACTCTCCAGTAGTGTAGAATACCCAGAAACTCCTGTAGCAATGCTACAGTTGTGCGGGTAGGAAAGGCCTGGACTTTGTCTATAACTGCTTCTGGTATAACTTTGGTCTTACCTGACCAGATGACCCCCAAGAGTTTAACAGACAAACCAGGTCCCTGAACCTTGGTGCTGTTCACAGCCCATCCTTTCTCCTGTAAATGTTGCAGCAGTCTAGGTGCTGCACCTTCTAAATCTAAAAGAGAATCGGACATGAGCATGACATCAATATAATGGTACAGCCGCACCATTGGCAGTTTCTCCCATGTGGCCAAGTCCTGGGCTACAAGTCCATGACAGATGGTGGGGCTGTGGAGGTAACCCTGTGGAAGGACAGTGAAAGTCCATTGCTGTCCTCCCCATGTGAAGGCAAACTGCTCCTAACTTTCCTGTTCAATGTCAATGGAAAAGAAGGCATTAGCAAGATCTACCACATAATGGTATGTTCCTAGTTCATGGCTGAATGTATCCATCAAGCCTGTAATAGAGGGGACAGCAGCATGCATAGGGGGTATGACTTTATTCAGTTCTCTGTAATCCACAGTCATATGCCAGGAGCCATCTGGCTTTATACAGGCCATACTGGGGAATTGAAAGGACTATGGGTGGGCTTTATAATACCCACCTTTTCCTGCTCCTGGAGAGTTTCCCCAATCTCTTTATGCCTCCAGGAAGTTTGTGTTGTTTGGTATTAGTCACCCGCTGAGGCACAGGCAAAGCTATGGGTGGGTGCCTAGCATGTCCCCTCAGAACTGCCTTCACCACAAGTACTCTCAGTCTGAACTCACCTGCAGTGGTCTGCAACCATAGACCCTGCAGGATATCAATCCCCAAAATATACTCAGGAATAGGAGATATATACACAGTATACTCTTTTGGGGGTAAATGCCCTATTCCCAAAGGGATTTGGGCTTTTTTTACTCTGATAACCTTCCCCCCATATCCATCTATGATAGTGGGGGTCCCAGGGAACTGCTCAGGATTACCATGAATCAGTGAACATTCAGCCCCTGTGTCCACCAGAGCCAGGACACATTGTATATTCACTGGGGACCAATGATAGCTATTTCAACATGTGGCCTCCGGTCCCCTCCTGGTCCCTCAGGGCAGATACCTTGACCTTTCCCTCAGTCAAACTGTGTTCCCCAATCACCTTCCTGTGTGGGCTCAAGTGAGGTTGGCTCATTCTCCAGCAGGAATTATTGCAAACACACAGGACAGACTCATGGCTCTGTCTCTGACCTTTGCCTCTTTGGTCTTAATGGCTGGAACTACTGCTCTGGTTTCAGCTGTTGCCATAGCTCTAGTAAGATCCTATTGGACTTTCCATCTAATTTCCTTCCATTTGCTCCTGCCCATATTAAATCAACCCACATCTGGGTCCTTGTAACCTTCATAGGGTCCTGTAAATTCTTCTTGTGAGTAACAGGTCTTATTTCTTTCTGGATTCTCATTGCTTCTGCCTCTTCTAAGTCTGCTACTGTACATGTCACCTCACTTATGGGATGCTCTAAGTGAGGGGAAAGAATAGCCACTAGAGACCCAAAGAGGGATGTGGGAGCCATTTGAAGCACAATATTTCTCATCCCAGTAGTGAAAATCTCTTCATCTGGGTTATAATTCTCTGGACTATAAATGGCATTTCTTATGCCTATGAACCTGTTGGAGTTCAGCACATGTCTGCCATCTAACAGGAGAGGATGGCAGATCACCCGGATTGGGCCACACAGTACGAAGTGCAGCCATAAGCCAATCAAGGAGGGGGTGAATCCCTGGGGTCTGATGTGCATTTTGTAATTGCTGCCTCAAGGCAGGCTACCTGTCAGGGAAGACAGCTTTCCCATCTCTGATCCCGACAGAACAATTCCATCCACCCCTAAGTCCCACAGACAGGAGCCATGCTGATATTGACTCCAAGGGCTTCTGCCTAAACCGGGAGCCCAATTCCACTAGCTCAGCCTGAGTATAGGGTAGAACATAGAGGGCTCCACGAACTGGGAAGGGGGCTGCTCCTCTCCTTGGGGAACTTTCAGCTGCTGGGTCTTTATTTCATTTACAACCACTGGGTGTGCTTTCAATACAGGAGGCTCCAGTGCCTCCAGCACCACCCCTTCATCCTTCTCTAACTCCTCCATTTCTGGTGCTGATGGCACCTTTTTCTCCTCAGGGAATCTACTGAAGTTTGCAGCTTGCATTCTCATGCCGCCATTTCTTGGGTCTCCTCTATAGACTTTTTTAAAACTGTGAGAAGCAGCCAATCCACAGTCCCCACTGCCTCACGGGCACTCTGCTTCTCAAAGGATCTGCTTACTGTATCAAGAGCCACCCCTACTGCCTCAGATGTCACCTTCACTTGCCTCCAGTCCTGGGGTGGGGCCCAGTCCTCGAGGAGGCAAGCCACCTCAGACCACATACCCATTGGGGGATGATCCACTGTCTCCCCATTCACAGGGGCAGCCCGCTGAAGCACCCCTCCCACAAGGGCAGCCTGTCTTTTTCATTGGTCAACACTGAATCCTGCCAACTACACCAATTGTCTTGCCAATGGGTTTCAGCCCCAGGCAAGTTCGCTATGGATTCAGTGTGACCAAAGAAATTGACAGCAAAACATTCTCTGGGGTGAAAGGGTTTATTACCCAGCTTGTTCTCTGGTGGTAGGTAGAGCACTAGCATCTTTGCCTCCGCCCAGAGCACTGGGCCGAGCTCTCTATATAGCACAATAATAGCTTATTGCCTAAAGGTGTGGAAGCAGCAGCCCAGCAACAGGCCAGTTACATCATCAGGTGGTTTAAGTTCAGTGAGGATCCTGGCCATAGGATCCCCAACTTCCCCACAATAAACAGCACTGAAAAGCCACACATCCCACTGCAGTGTCTCTGCAGTAAAATAAGCTGAGGTGGTTATGGTTAATCAGATTAGCAGTGGAGCCCATGGAGGCGATGCTGTAAACTTTTATATGTAAATATAAAATTTATATATAAATTATATAATTTATCTTTCCTTTATTTGCTCGCCTTTCACTCCTCATGCTCTGAAGGCACTTAACACAGTGCCTGACAATAACAGTACCCAATGCATACTGTGACTCTTAACCATCTTGAACTTCTTTAACTAAGATAATTTTAATAACTTGCTTTCTTAGTGTGGTGGCATATCTTACTCCAATTGATTTGGTAAATATTCTTCATTTTTTTTCCCTGGCAGAGGATGGAAGGGCAGAGGACACAGGGAGTTAGGAAAGCAAACCTCATCTTGTGGCCTCCCTGCCCGTCAGACTCAGAGCTGCCTTGGCCTGACCACAGCCACTCTTTCCGGGTCTCTCGGTTAGGTTGAACCTGCGCGTCTGACAGCTTGAGAATTCTCTGATACATTCTTCCTCCTTGTCTTCTTTCCTAGGGAGGCGGACAAGCCCAGCCGACATCCCGATGGCGAGCAACAATACCGCCAGCATAGCTCAGGCCCGGAAGCTGGTAGAGCAGCTGAAGATGGAAGCCAACATTGACAGGATAAAGGTGAGGACAGCGTGGCGCACATGCTCATCTCGCTGGGCATCAGCGCCGTGATGTTCGGCACCTGGCATTGACCCCTCTTCTGTAGGAATGGATGCAGTCCACGACGGTGGGAGAGAAGCGATGATTGGGCAGAAGTTAGTTTTTCTAATGGGTCTTTGCCTTCTTTAGATTTCTCCAGAATAAAATGATAGTACAAATTACAACTGGTTCTCCATGTCAACTTGAAAACAAAACAAACAGAACCATAGGTTCGGTGAGTTCTATCTGAGAGCACACAATGTATTGGTCCCCCAGCTGACCTCCCTGACCTTGTGGGGACCCTCTTCTCATTTGAGTTTTAGCTTTTTCTGTCCTGGTTTATGTTCTAAGTTGCAGTATCTATGTATTGTGTCTAATCCCTCTACTCACCATTGCAGGTTATAATTCTTTTCCTCTTTATACCCTACCTGATTTTTTTCTTCAAAACATAAAAATCACACATGGTCTCCTTAAGAAGTCAAATAGCATAAAGGTTTAATAAAAGTTAGTGATCTACTTCTTTCTTTCTTTCTCTCAATCTGCAGTTCTAACCTGAAAGCTTTGCCTTAAATTGGACCTAACTCATATCGGACCAAGACTTTAAATCCAAACCCTTTGTTGGCAGATTTTAAATGTAAAGTTGTCCTCAACAATATCGTTATTAACAGATAGCTACTGCAGGACAGCTACTGCAGAATTCTTGTTAACTACCAATGCTTCACTTCCCCAAAAGGCCCAAGCATTTTTTGAAAAAGGACTCAGAAACGTATTTCATTTTACTAAAATAAAACTAGAACATTCTTCCAAATGCCCTTTTTAAAACTAGAATATTTTTTCCGATTTTCTTTGTACCTGCCTCAGTAACCTGGACAATCGAGCCATCCTTTGGAGTATGCTTCTAAAGAAAGGTTCAGTGATTTAAGGCTCAGGAGCTAGATCCAGCCCACTGCCTGTTTTTCTGCGTGAAGTTGCACTAGAACACAGCCACACCACTCATTCATGTAGCATCTGTGGCTAATTGCATACCACAGCAGCGTAGTAGAGTAGTTGCAACAGAGCCCATGTGGCCCACAGAGCATGAAATATTTACTCTCTGACCCTTACCGAAAACTTTCTTGACCCCTGGTTTAGACCAATGGTTCTCATCACATTTGTACATTCAAATCCCCAGAGATTCTATAAAAGGACCAATTCCAAGACCACACCCTTGACCAATCAAATTAGATTCTCTTGGTGTATGATTCAGGCATCAATTTTCTTTAATTATCAGTTATTCTCAATGTACAGTCAAGGTGTAGAACTAGAGTCCTAAGTGAAGGGGTTCGTTCCTAACTCCTATCAGACAGTGCCAGAGTGAAAGAAGAGTTGGTCTTCTCCCATAAATAAACTGAGCAAATATCCATAGATATTTTACCATCTATGCTAAATCTTGGTTTGTTTTTGTTTTTGTTTTTGTTTTGAGTCTTGATAATGGGCTCTAAGATGTAAACAGCTTTAATTTTTCTTTACTCATGAATGAAATTTTAAAACAGCTCCCCACCACTGCCTGCTCCTTCACCATGCTCCTCTTCTCCTCTTTTACCCTTGCCTCTTGTCTTTTCCTCCCTTGCTATAAAAGCTGACAGTGGGAGGAAGAGGACAGAAGTAGGCCCTTTCAGCCATAAGTCAAACCTCTATCATCCCTTGCCTGAGTTACTGACTGCAAGGGGCTCCTAGCTGACCTCTGAAATCCCATCTCAACCCCATCTCCATCCCCACTATCATTATCCCACATTGCTGCCAACTTTCTAAAAGAAAAGAAAATTGTACATTTTCCTCTCTGAAAATTTTTTACGGATTCCCATTACCTATGAAATAAAATTGAAACTCTTGGGCTGGGTAGACAAGGTCCTCTGGACCCTGCCTTGTCTTTGCAGCTTCATCCCCTTCCTTTGGTCCACATGCCTTACTGAACCACTTGTAATTCCCTTGATGGGAACGTCAAATGCCTGGAAGATTCACCCTCCTCTCTCTACCTTTCCACTTTGCCAACTCCAGTGACTCCCTAAAGACTCAAACCAGTCATTTCATCCCTTAAGAAGCTTTCCCATTTCATCATCAGGTTGGAGTTTTGTTGCTTTTCAGGTGTTCATTTATTCATTTACCTAATAAATATTTTACTGAGAGCTTTCTAAATTGCCAGGCCTTGTGAAGTTCTAGAGACACAGATATGAATAAAGATGAAGATGATTCTTGCCCTCAGTGATCTCCTAGTTTAGCAAGGTGTTACAGAGAATATGACTAAGACCCATCATTGGTTGATGCAAATAAGGTACCCAAGGCGCATAATTACCAGATATCATCAGAGAGAAGCCAACACCATACCCTGGTACCCTTTCTGTACTACTTCCGAAGAAACCAGAGAAATCACTGCTGAAAGAGCAACAAAGCGTCAGGCTGATACACTGAGCACCGATGGTCACCTTCCTAGGGGATCTTCACATCCAAATGTATGGATCCCTCCTGACGTCATTAGGCCTTAAATTGTTGGAAATACAGCAGCAGCCTTTATTTTAGCATTTATTCTGCACATCACAGCCAGGCAGGCCTGCTGTGGTGAAGTGTCAGATTATTTTTAGTTTATTTGTTGGATAAAACCGTGGCCACATTGACACAGTGTCAGCTAGCTCGTTTAGGCTTTGGTGATCTGCCTGTACAAGTCCCTTCAAGGCTTCTGAGCATTCAGGCTTTTCCACCTACTTTCTGTGCATGACCCCACCAGCAGGAAAGGGCTTCTTTCTTAAGATTACCTTTTTGTGATTTCCCAGTCGCAGTAGTGACGTCTTCAAGCTGCAGGGCAGCGGTGGCTTTATGTACATCTGACAGAGCCTCCTGCAGGTGAAATAGGCTGTCGGGTCCCTTAAGCAGGGGGTGGCCTTCTCCTTCCTGTGGCCTCCAGAATAACTCCGCTGCACAGAGGTCTACCTTCTGAGGATCTGAATAGCATGTTCATTTTTAAACCTTCTTGTTTCCTATCCCTTTGCATCACAGATCCTGGGAGATTTGGGCTAATGAACCCATTATCTGTTCATCAGCCTCAGGCATATATAAATTATACTCCCAGCCTTCCTGTGTTTCTTTGTTAGCATTTCATTCAAGGAAGGAGTAAAGAGAAATCACAGGCAGCTGGGCAGGGGTGTGAGGGGAGGAGCAGACAGCAGACAGGGCTGTGGAGACTGTGACACTGAGTCACATGACACGGCAGTATACTCACACTGGTGCTGGGCAGTGGCCGGTGAAAGAAAGCTTGTCCTTAGAGCACAGGTTGAGAGAGCTTGCATGAAAGTGAAGGACAGCAGGACTTCAGTAAATCTATTTATTTATCACTATATTAGGACTCCTTGGGTCTCTAATTACAGGAACCTACCCCAATCTAGCTTAGGCAGGAGGAGAGGGTTGGTGATAAAGGAGGCAGTGTGTCTCAGAACCCCAAGGCAGAACTGCGGCCGGGCTGCCAGTGGGGTGGGAGCGGGAAGAGCATCAGGAAGCGTGTGTGCTCTCTGTCTCTGCTTCTCTGTGTGTCTGCCTCTCTCTCTTCATGGGAAGATTTGATTTCTCAGCTGCGTCTTCTAAATGGCAGACATGACGGCTGCCCATGGCTCCCAGGATCCCATATCATATATAGTTCAAGCCCCACGAAGAAAGATAAAGATTAACGCAATGCCTTTTAGTCTCAATTTCATATGCTGAGTGGCATCTCTGTTCTAGCAAGAATGAGCCATCTGCAGTTCCAATCAACTAATGTTGCAATTGAACCACCCTGCACAACATGGCACCTAGGAATTAACCCACCTGTAAGGATAGGGAGGGGATGAATTATTAAGTAAGGGTAAGAATCATTGTAAGCTGGAAAAATGCTCTTTGGCAGAGGGTGTTGTAACATTATGAAGAATAATGTAAATGAAGGGCACAAGAAAGCCAAGGCTGGAGTGTGGATAAAGTGATTACTCCTTAACTGAGTGGATGCTCTATAAATCGACCCCACATAAAAATTTCACATTTATTTTTCATTTCCCCTAGATATTCCCAATAGACCTTTCCATCTTGATCTCCTTGCCATCCCAAGAATATGCTATGCAAATCTCACTGTTACTCTGGGTCCCTCACTGAGAACCTCCTTCCCCTTTTTCCTCTCCTAGCTGCAGTAGGCAGAATGTTTGCATCCCCTCCCAAAATTCAAATGTTGAAATCCTAACCCCCCCAGGTGATGGTAGTAGGAGGAGGGGCCTTTGGGAGGTTGTTAGGTCATAACGATAGAGCCCTCGTGAATAGGATTAGTGCCCTTAAAGGGTCCCTTATCCCTTATACCATGTGAGATTACAGTGAGGAGATAACCACCCATGAACAAGGAAGTGGACCCTCACCAGACACTAAATCTGCCGGCACCATGACATTAGATTTCCCAGCCTCCAGAACTGAGAGATAAATTTCTGTTGTTTATAATCCACCTATCTATAGTATTGTTATAACAAATCAAATGGACTAAGACATTGTCCAAATCTTACTCCTCTTTTAGGGGTCAAGTCAAATATCCACTTGCCCATGAATGTCTTTTTCCATTCTGGCCATGTTTACTAGTGAATTTACTAATTAATTTCACTTTCACCAAAATAAATTTTTCCAACTAGACTACACAGTCCTCAGAGTCAAAGACCGTGCTGTCTACTCGGCATCCTTCCTGCTGCTGAGGGACACAGGCATTCAGGAAACACTATTTTAGTGGATAGCTTTAACTGCTTGTACTGTGCATGTCATATAACAAGACATCAAGAACTATATTCCACATGACACTTCCAATTATCATTTGGAAAATTCCAAGCATGAATGTAATTAGTCAAATAAAACTGTGGTAATAGGAGGAAATTTATTGAAATATAAAAATGAAGGGAGGAATTGATCATTTTAAGGGTAGATAACTTGTATGTCCTGTGTATGACTATAAG